GCATGATAAGTGTCTTCAAAGGGGGCCCTCAGTCACTCTGTCCGGCTCCCAGAAGCAGCAGCCCCGCTGAATGGCCGGGGAAAGCTACCACGCCAGAGAGACCCGGACCCCCACCGGGAGGCGGAGAGTCCGAAGAGAATTGCTCAATCGCCCCCTCTGAAAGGGGATGAGCTCCCACTGGAGAGGCCGAAGGTCAAGTCTGGTCCATGGGACAATCCCGATGCAAGAGACCATCTTGCCCAATAACTGCGATAGAGTGAGGATCGAAACTAACCGACTTCCGTGAACGCTTATTGCCAGTTGACGTAGGCTGCTCTGGCGCTCCTGGGATAGATACACCACCCCCGACATGGAGTCTATGACCGTCCGCAGGTGAAGAATGCGCGTGGAGGGGGAAAGGTGATTCTTGGGGAAGTTCACTGGAAAACCTAGGCTCTGAAGGCTCCGGATGGTGAGCTGAAGGTCCGAGATGGCCTGAGGAAGAGACCCCGCCTGAACCAGGACATCGTCTAAATGACACTGGAGCCGTACCAGGATGGAGCGCAGGTGAGCTGCCAGGGCCACCAGAACCTTCGTGAAGGCCTGGGGAGCAGAGGCCAGCCCGAAGGGCAGAGCCCTGTATTGGTAGTGACGGTTCCCGTGGGAGAACCTCAGGAACATGCGATGACCAACCAGAATTGGGATGTGAAGATAGGCCTCTGAGATCCACTGATGTCAAGAAGTCCACCTTCCTGATGTCCTGAAGGATAGTCTTGAGGGAGGACATTTTGAATCGCCTGTACACCAGAAAATGGTTCAGGCGTTTGAGGTCCAGTATTGCCCTCCAGCCCCCCGAGCTCTTCGGAACCACGAACAGGTTGGAGTAGTGGCCCAGGCCCCGTTCCTCTAGAGGAACTGCCTCCACCGCCTGAATGTTGAGAAGATGGACGATAGCCTGATCCATCAGGCGGCAGCGCTCCAGGCTCCTGGACGGAGAGAACGACCTGAAGAGATTCGGAGGGGTGGAGAGAAATTCTAACCTGAGACCGTGATGAACCGTGGCTCGGACCCAAGCATCCAATGTGATCTCGTCCCATTGATCCGCATAGAGGGAAAGGCGGCCACCGATGGGACGACTCGGCTTCGAGTCACTTCCCCCTGCAGGACGACTGCCTCCTCCACGAAAGGGCCACCTGGACTGGTGCTGGAAGCGGTTTCTGTCCTGAAAGGATGACCTGGGGAACTGCCTGTCAGATCGGAAAGAAGAAAAACGCTGGTTATAATAATCTGTAGGATGAGACCTAGTCTCGGGCTTCTTAGCGTTAGCTTCTTGTCCTTATTCTCGACCAGAATGGGGTCGACAGCCTCCCCGAAAAGATTAGGCCCCTTGAACAGAGCGGCCGCCAAATTCCATTTGGCCTTGTTATCCATCTGCCACTGCCATAAAAGCCTGCGAGATGTGACTGAGGTGGCCAAGGCACTGGAAGCAAACTTGACCGTGTTCAGGGTCGCATCCGCAGAAAACTGGGAGGTCGCCATGATCTTAATCAGATCCTGGTGAAGCCGCTTGTCCTGGATGGGAACGTGCTCCTGGAGCTGCTTAAGCCACATAACCTTGGCGCGGTTGAAATAATGGACTTGATAGCCCATGCCATTGCATTAAAGTTCTTCCTCAAGGTAAACTCAGCGCGCTTATCCTCTGGCTTCAATTTATCCACCGCATCGCCTGATACCACCAGAGAGGAGGAGACCAGGGCGACCACCGGAGTGTCAATGGCCGGTAACTGAATGGCCTGGGCAAAGGTCTGTTCCATGTTATAGTGCCGGCAGTCAATGCTTCCAGGATCCAAGAAATTGGAGGGATGCGCCCACTGGTTGGTCAGGACCTCCATAAACAAAGGAGGGGCCGGAATCTCCTCCTTGTTCGTGGCCATGGCAGAAAACATGGCCATGTCAGGATCCCTAGGTGGAGGTACCGAAGGATCCCCAGTCCCCACCTTGGTGGTTTTCCGCGCCTTGCCCAAGAGGATCTTGAAAATGGCTGGGGCAAAGAGGCCTGAAGAAGAGGGCTCATCAGAGGGGGCCGCACCCCCACCCTCTGAGAACCCCATGTCCTGGAGATTCTCCTCCCCCATGATCGAAGCTTCGCTAACCATGGAAAGGGAGGAAGCTCAATACTGGGCGCGGCCTAGACCCCCATGCCTGGAAGAGAAAGAGGATCTATCACGCTAGGCAATGCCCCTTGAAATGGCAGCAGAAATAAGCCTTTTAATCCCTTCAGGAAGTTGATCCAAGTCCTCTATATCCCCATAGGCAGAACTCCCCAGTGGAGCCAACCTGCACGAAGGGCAGGGTCCCCTAGACGTACCCTCCAAAGGATCCCTCGAGGGAGAGGGCGATGGGGAGCCCCTTCCCCCGGAATAGGCATGAGGCCTGCCAGGAGAAACCGAGGGAGAAGAAGGGCTAAATCCCCTAGGGGAAGAGTGAGTGGAAAGAGGCCCTAGAGGGGACCGGGACCTGTCCTGAGATGAGGGCCCAGCTGACTTGGCCTGCCTCTCTGCCCTAGCAAACTTTTTCTCAAGTGCCCTGTGTCTCCTGGCCTCCTCTCTGGTGGAGGACCTAGACGGGTGCTGGGCAGCCAAAGAACCCGGGGGGAACCCCTTGTTCCCCCCCTTGAACCAGGCCTTTTCCACCCCTGATCGGGCCCCCCTCCTGGCCCTGGGGAATCTCTACCACCTCGTCCATGGCTAACTCATGTGTCCGACACTGGAACGAGGGCTTTGAGGCTCTATAGGCCCCACCGGGACCGAGGTCTGCTAGATGCTGCGAAAAATGAGGCCTGAGCTGCCGCAGACCGCACATGTGGCGGCAATCCAAAATGGCCACCGGACACCTCCACACAAGTCCATTGGCCAAATCAAGCCTCCAGCGACTCAGCCGGGCTCCCCAGCACCCGCACCGCTTCCAGAGAGATCGGGGGAGGCCACGCGGTGCCCAGGCTCGTATTTCCGTCCCCCAGAGGCCACTCACAGACAGGGACAAAGAATGAGAAGTGCGGAAACCGATCCGATGATTGCTGGCTCCGCAAACGGCTCGTGCGCGCCTCGTGGTGCCGCTGCTGCTTCCCTAGAGTTAAATAACAAGTGCAACTGCCGTTGCAGCCGCTGATAAAGGAGCTGGCACCCCCGGGGATAGGGCTGAAGCTCCGGGCCCTCGGGGGGAGGCAGGACGCCCACAGGGCCCTCCCCAACCGCCCGAGGCAGAGAACTGTCCCCTTGGGGCCGCAGCTGCAAATTTAGGAATTTGGAAAACTTTTTAAAATGTTCAATTAAACCAAATGAGACCAGATTGGAATAAATATAAATCCTACCATGGAATATTCTCAACAGTGCTTGGACCAAGTAGACTGAGAGGAAACTGGGCTAGGATTGGAAGGCACCAGTATTTAAGAGTTTGCTTTCAGTCTTTGGACCAATCAGGCTTTGAGAATACCCACACGTGACCACTCCCTCCCTTCCTCTGGAAAAGAAAGGATTCCTGACAAATAGCAACTCAGTCTCTATTTAAACACTTAGAATAATGGGGAGCCTACTACCTCCCTGGTGACTGGTTTTATTTTAAAATTAAAATACACTTTAAAATGGATAGCCTATTAAAAAGAAATTTCAAAGCTGTATTAAAGGTTGTTATTCTAACAAAACAGGTGGATAAAAATGCCAAAAACAAGCTAAACATCTGGTTGAATTGTGCAACTGACCATAATAATGACTTCAAGTCAACCTTGACTTCTGTCAACTACCTAGACAAGCGATCTAAAACTTTTTTTGTGGTGGGGGGGGAATGAATATAAGTTGTCATGACTCAGAATATTGACTCTGAAAAATTCCTCCAACAGAAAGTCAGCTTCAGGAAAGACAAAACTAAGAATCACCTGGCACAGTGACACAGGCATCACCAGAAGAGCAGGAATGGTCAGCTGATAATGATGTATGGCCTAAGCCCCCTCATCTGGTGAGTAGACCAAAGATGTTCTATTAGGCTTTTTGCTAAACAAGAGACTACATTTTTGACTAAGGATGGCCTAATTTAAAAGGCAGTGCTAGCTCATAATTCCTTTGCTGGACTCAACTATCTGATGTCTAGTTCTTACATGACCCGTTTCTGTGGATTCTGCTTGTGACACTCTGACTGACTGACAATCCTGACTGGCCTTTGAAGCTTTGAACAATATTTTATGTACTCTGGTTAAAAGCAAAATCACTGAGTCAAGCTCCCTTTTTCAGAGACTCTTTGGATTGGCATTCCTTGCCTCTTCAACATTGAGCAAACTGCTAATCTCCATAGCAACTCTGTATGAAAGTGTCTAATTGAAACTTGAAGCAGGACTCAAGTTAAGCATCAACTGGCATCATTTAGAGCTGTTATATAGAAAAAAATTACAAGGAAGTTTTATCTGCATGGCTGATACCAGTAAACAAGCATTTTTGAAAAAGGAACAGGAACTGATATCCAAAAGTTATTTTATGAAATTAACAAACCCCATTCAGAAAAATATACTAATATAGTAGGTCTTAGTTCTTCAAGAAGTTTTCAGTATTCTGTAACTGTAAACGCTGAAACTTATGCAAACTGTTAGTATAAAACTACATCATGGTAAAATCCATTTAGGATTTGGTCAAAACTATGGCAAAAACCTGAGCATCTCTGTAAAATACAAAGCAACATATCCTTGATCATTGTAATCATCACCAAAGCTTTTGTGTTCTTCAAGGGATAACCAATTAAAGTAATTTTCAAAGTAAGCCCCTAGCCAGCAACAGATCTTTCCTAGCTGACATTAAGCAGATGCAGTGGAAGTACATAGAAAATCTTTTCTTCCCTATCAGCATTACCAAGGAGTAGGCCCTTTTAAGGCAATATATAAGCCATTGCTCTCTAAACTATGCCGTATACAATAAGCTGATACTACATAATAAATCTGAAAAAAATTAAATATACATCTTTGGGGGAGGGAAGAATATGAAAATATATCAAATTTATTCTACTTTATTTCCACTACATGCAATTGTCCATCTACTTGAATGCACTAAAGAGTATATATCATGCACCAACACTTTATGAAATAAATTAACGTTACAATGATCCTGTATTCAGATAAAACAAAATTTAATGGAAATAGAATGAGGACAGATTGTCTTCCTCACATAGGATTTCAACTTTTTAAAGACTGGGCACCAAATATATCAGAATGTAATTGGATTAAGTTGCAATCCTGTGTTTAGACAAGAAATAATTATGGCTAAAGATATACCTCCACAAATGTATGATCTAACAAAGACAAACTGGAGTAGACAAAGAGGCTACTCCCAATTACCTTCCAACAGACTAAACAGTTTTAGGCAATCTCTTCCTAAAATATTACCATGGCTTCCTGTGCTTTTCCAGAAGATCAGGAAGCCTGGTTGCTACCTCCATCCCCTCAAATAATGCTCATCCTAATATAAACTAATTTAAGGTACACAAACTAGTTCTGCATCTTTATTTATAAAATTTCAATCCATCTTTGCAATTAGATGCATAGGTAGAAAAGAACCAGTCTATAGATGAAGAATTTATAGAATTTTCTATCATTATTTAATTCAGTCACCAAGACAATACATTTCAGTTTTAATGTAACAGAATAATCTAATACAGAGATCCTCAATTTTCTGGCTTTGTGGACTGGCAAGGTGGGGGAGAGGAAGATGGTTCCCCATGAGCAAATGGCAAATGCTTGCCTATGCTTGCCCACTGCTCACAGAAGTGGGGATGCATGTGCACGCGATTGCCAGCTTGCAAACAGCTCAGAGGTTGGGAGGCCCTGATCTAATATGTGGAATTTAATCATTTCAAGTGTTGCCTTGAAACTCAGACACCCTGAGTTTGCATGGAGGTGAAGACCTATTCCTTAATTATGGGAGAACAAATACTTTTACCTTTTTGCAAAGTGGTGTGGGGTTTTCTGCATATATGATTTTTAGTTATTCAAGCAAAAAAAAAAAAAAACCCAAACCATTTATTAAGAGGGAGCAAATCTTTATATGGAGAGTAAACAAATGGCCAAAATTTTTCCATAGAACTAATGGTTACTAAAGGAGCTTACTGACTTGGATGAAACAATGTTTGTTTAGAGGACACTCAGTATATCACAGA